GTTTTGATGTTTTTGTGCCATTGAAAGTGAGATCTGTGTGTACATTGAAGATCTTTGTTGTCGATTTTGCAATTTTAATTCGTTCTGGCTTTAGTTGTTTTCAGTGATTGCTTTATTTGGTTTCTTGATTTGGTTTTTTGGTCTTTGGATCTATGTTTTATTATGCTACTATTGGCTAATTGGATTGCCTGGATTCTGATAGTAGTGTTCTTTCAAACCCAGGCGTTGGGTTCGATAGAAACCAAGCGTGAGGTTCCTTGGACTCCAGGCGTTGGGTTCTTTCGAACCCAACACACCTGGGTTCGATGAAACTTGTGTTCTTTCGAACCCAGAGGCAAAAAATAAAAAAAGAAAAAAAGAAAAAAAAAAAAGAGCGGGAAGAACATATGAAGAATTGATTCATGAAGAAGACAAGGTAAGGAAGAGGAAGGAAAAAGAAAGGGCGCTTGCTGAGGAACCCAGCACGCCTGGGTTCCATTGAAGAGCTTCTTGTTCTAGGGTTCGAATGGGAAGAACAGAGGAGAAGGGTTCAATTTTTGCAAGGGTGGGCCCCACTTTTTTTTTTTGGTTTGATTATCGGTGAGAATGAAACATGTCATATTGCCATATCATCTTTTTTCCAGGTTTACATCTGACATGTCACGTTATTTTAAAGTGTCATTGTGTTCCCGTTAATTAACGGGACACGTCACTGGTTTTTAAACGGAAGGACTAAGTTGGGGTCAAAATGGTAAACAGTAGGGACCAAATCAGGGATTTATTGAGTTGAGGGACCAAGTCGGGGGTCCGTACCATAGTTGAGGGACCAAAATGGGGGTTTAACCTATAATTAATTAATTTATATAAAAGCTTATTTATAGTGTTTTATTTATATTTATTTAATATTATATTATATTTTTTAGTATTAATGAAAAAAAATTTTTCCACTTGTTTGTTTACTCACAAAATTTATATTTAAAATTTTATTTAAAAATAATTAAATTCATTCCGTTGGAACCAATTTATATTATATTATTTAATACTACATTATACTTTTAAGCTTACAATTTTATTAGGCATTGAGCACATTGACCATAAATATTAAAACAAAAAAATCTTGTAGACATAGAATATTGCCTATTTGCCTATAAAAACTCTATTTCTATTGTACTTTTATATTAAAGATGTAAAAACAAGAAAAAGAAAAAGGATATCCTCATATTAAAAATATCAAAATATCTAATCAAAATCACATATTAATTAAAATATAATGTAAGTCCAACTTAAATTATAATTAATATTTGTAATACCAAGAGGTCTTGATTTTTATTTTTATGTTTTATATTAATAGAAGAATATCCAAACCTACTCCCTCCCAAAGTATAGTCACAGAAACGGATCTACTCTTGAGCAAAATGCTAGATAAATTCACCTATAAAGTTTTTAATTTGAATAAATCACCTTAAATCTAACGTGTGACATCATCTTAGATCAGTAATTCTTTAATTTGATGTCAACAATCCATTATTAGTAACAAAATAAGTTAACAAATTGCAAATGTCAATGATATCATACACGTTAAATTTTAGTTGATTTGTTTAAATTAAAAATTTTATAGATAAATTTATCCTCATTTTTTGTTTAATGGTAGATCCATCTCAACCACTATACTTTCAGGCTGAATTTGGATATTTTACCTTCTATATTTATTTAATTATTAAGGGAACAACAATTCTAAGGTTTTCCAAGTGAATTCAAAGGATTTTTAGAAGACTTGGGATATGAACAAAAAAGACATGAAATAACAAACTCCTTTTCTGATCTTATATTGACGTCCATAAAAAATACAAGGCATCTGCGGTCTAATGCTAACATTTATAGCTCAACATTAAATTTGCCAAAGAAAGAAATAAGGGCAAACAACCTGAGTTCGACTTTTCTCACCTAATAAACAATCAAAACAGTAATTAACAGTCATAAAGGCTGGGGCAATGACTTGGCAGTTGGGATGGATGGATCAACAAAATAATGTCACGCACTGCATAGCAACATTTCATGACTTCCGGCCCCCTAGAATATTTTGTTTCTTCAATATCATCTAAGCTGCCTTTGTTGCGGGTTTCTTTTTCAGTTGCCCCTTTGGGATTGAGTTCTTCATTTCCCAGAAGAAAAGCAATGCGCCAAACATTGCAACACTCTTTCAATGATTATACAAAAACAAGGTTAGTAAGATCTCAAATGATAATATTGTTATCAAACTAAAATGCTGGCAAAACAAAGAACTCAGATATGAATTTCAAATACCTGCAAGAAATCACTTAAGAGACTCTGGAATCTGGGGTCGCTGGAGTTATAGTTGTAGAAATTATACAGAAGTGGAGCGCTGAATGCCAGGTAGACAAGCTGTTGCAAAAATATCAGAATGGAAATGTTGTTAATAATACTCATTTTCAGTTCAAGATTAAGAACCCATAAGAAAGGTGATTCTAACCAGAAGATAGGCTCCAAAAGTTTGGCCAAATACAAATAAAATGCCTCCCAGTCCTTTCAAAGCAATTGCGGTTGCGACTACCTGTCTTACCTGTAAAATGTCTTATCATCAGGGAAAAAGCACTTGCATGCAAGATGAAAAGACAAATGAAATTAATAGAGCGAATGTAAATTAGCCAGTACCCAAGAATAAAAAGAATCTTACATCAATATCTGGCATTTTCACTTTCAATTGCGCAGACATATGTTTCTTGATAAGAGTTAGCTTTGGTATCAACTCCATTGCTGCAGGCCCACCATCAATTCCAAATTCATTGAACCTGCCAATATACTTCATTAGAATCTTTGCAAATATAGTCAGATACTTCACAACAAACATTAGGATTCAAAAGTCTCACAACCAAGTTCAAAATCACAAGAGGATAATAATAACTGTAAACAAAATAATAACAGGGATTGCAAGACTTCTTGTGTATTCAAGATTGGAGAATGATTACAATTCTACCATCAAAACCAAAATAGGAAACAATTAACAAACAAAGCACCTAAACAATAAGTGATCCAAGAAATATACAACTGATCTGAATCTGTCACAGGTCATGTTTCACCATCTCAGGGTAAAAAAGAAGCATATTCTTAATAGTGTACCAAATAAAGGCACAATCCTGATTTTCCAAGAAATACTTTGAGTGCAAGACAAACAGCCACAAAATAAATAAGGTAGTTTCATAACCCACGTGTTTAAAAGCATCCCTTGAAACATGAAAGACAATTTCTTTGATTTCTTCTCTTAAATGGAAAAAAACTGCCAATATGTAGATTGCAAAAGATTGGGCCATTCAAAACGCAATGATAGTAACATACAAACCAGAATTGATGGTATCTATTTTTCCACCCAAAAAACAATCCATTCTTAAATATTATATTCAATAGCATATTGGTTCAACATGTGCATAAAAACTGAACTTGGATAGGAAAAATATTTAATCCATAACAAAGAATTAACACATTCTCGCACTAAGTAAACTCCAACAACAATATACATATTTTAGTTAAACAATTCCTAACTCTAAATCCAAAGCAAGTCAAAGAACACAATACATATTGATTCTTACATAAATTAGCTACAAAAGCAATCATCAGTAAGTATATAATTAGATTAAACATTGGACATAGTTTTACCCTCCAGAACCCATAAAAGCAAGAATGCATTAAGCTAACAGAACAGAACAGGAAAAACAATATGGAAGCTTAGAAAACAAAAACAACCCAGAAACCAAAAACAAGAATATCTGTAAACAAAAGAAATAAACCCATATCCAGAACACAGAGGGACAGGGTTCGATGCAGATCTAAAGTAGAGAGAAGGAGAGATTACATTTGCCAAGCGGAGAGGATGAAGATAAAGGCAAAAAGGAGTCTTCCGAGGAAAGAAAAGAAACCCATTTTTTTTCCCTCGATTTGTTGCAGAGAATGGAACTCGGGTTTCTGTTCTTGCCCTCCCGGAGAGTATAAGGAAAAGAACAGAGAGCTGCGGCTTTGCAATGGGTGATCTTAAATATCAGAGCATCTGTGGGATGAGATGGACACGCAAACAAACTACCGGATGTCCATTAGACCAGTTTCCGTTAATTAACGATCTTTGCTTGTGAACCAATTACATGTTTTTTATTTTTTTATTTTTTATTTTTTAAGAATATATTAAAAATTTTATTTTTGACTAATATTTTTAAAAATTAATCATTAAATTAAAAATTTTATTTATATAAATTATGTATATTAATTTTTAAATTATTTTAATAAACTTAACTATTTTATTGATTATAAAA